AAAATCTATTAAAACACTGTGGCATAGGAATGGGAAAGGAATATCAAAAACTGAATAGGTTTGATATCAAAAGCAGAGTGCTAGTTATGATAGACAGTAAAATCATATGAAATCTTTTGCTCAAAAGTCTGCATTTATCTCTTGCAGTATTAGTAGCTGCAATTCAGTGTGTTTCCTAATTGAATGTTCGTATCTAAGGGGGTGGTTTTGGGTTCATTTTAAGATGAAAATTTCATATAATCGTATGTAGTAAATGTTTTAACTGTTGGGGCAGGGAGCTAACACAAATAAATCGTTGATTATGAATATCTGTGATACCACTTAATGATATCTGGCATACATGTACACGTGTCAAGAGGCATTTTTTTAATTTCATCTGCCAATTTTGATAGACATTGATTTCTCTCATCACTTCTAAGCAAAAATCACTTGAATTTTTTCAATCTGATGCACGGTTTTCATACAAATAAAAACTTTCTCTCTTCGACCATAACAATATTGTTAAAATGACAATATTATCATGCAGAGAAATTTTTGAGTGGAATCGTGGGTCGGACATAAAAAAATTGAATTCTTGAATTCTGTTAGTCTGACGCACGGTTTCCACCTGAAAAAGACAATCTATTTCTCGATATAGTGACATTGCATACTAACGATATTAGGATCACGCAAAGAAACGTTATTTTATTTTTTAAGCGCATACCGTGCATCGGAGTGAAAAAAATTAAGCAATCAAATTTGCTCACAGATGATTGAGGATTTCAAGAGTAGTTTTTATTTTAAAAGAAATCAGTTGCATACTATCATTGTCTGCTAAAAAAGGCAAGTGAAATCGGTACCAACGTCGCTGGTGTAAATTAAAAGAAAATTCGTACATTGAAAATTGATAGTACATATATGCCGAATTTAAAAATGTATTACAAATCTTAACAAAAATTATTGATTTTTGAAAAGTTTACCACCCTGTTTCTCAAAAGTCAAGACGTTTAGGACATACGATTATATGAAGTTTTCTTCTTAAAAGTCCCCTTAAATATTGACGTTCAGTTTGAAAACACCATATATATTTTATGTAAGTAAATCTAAAATTATCAAAGATGATTATAATACACTATTGTAGTTTTTCATTTTGGATATGTTTTTTTGCAATATATTTGTTCATATTCCCTGTTATTAGTTGTTATTGTTGTTGGGTACCTTTTAGATATAAAGACTTAATTTGATTACTGATACTTATGTGTTTTGACATACTATCTCTGAATTCCTTAACAATTTCATGTATTATATTTTTTCGTTGGTAAGTATTTGCAGAATATATACAGAAATAAAAGATTACTTGGTAAAATAAATATTTTTATTCTCCAATGTACACCCACAGAAATACAATAGGTTCTTTCAAATATATCTAGAAATATAGATTTCATCAATTTGTAATCGTTCTTTTCTCTTGAAACAAATACTTTTTCTCTAGTATGTATGCTATTTTCAAAATTTTGAACAGGAATAAAAGGATATCTAATTGGAAAAAACCATTAAAGTCATAGATGAGATGGTGTTTCCGAAACCGATTAATTTTAAATAATTTGAAGACAATGTCAATACAACACCATCTACGTAACTCTCAATCTCTAGATCCAAGTTTTACAACAAATATTAACCTAGCTGATGAGGTGAAATACCAAGGATGCACTTGGGACTATTCTCTAAACTGGAACACACAGATCGACAGTGTCTGTAAGAAGTTAAACACCGCCTTTTATGCCCTAAATCAGCTAAAGAACTGCCTTAATAGAGATGGTCTGAAAACTGTATTATGCCCTGGCTTACTCGCATATGTCTCTCAATATTTTGAGCTGGTGCAAAACCAGTGCATGTATCCGCGTGTTAATCTCTCAGAAGCGAATTATCGGACTTTTTTTTAATCTTACCCCTAGAGAGTCTTATAAACCGACATTAATCAGAGAGCCTGTATTGACTCTACCATGTATTTACATATTACACTGTCTTCTGTACGTTAGGTCGCACTTTGAGGAATTTGAGGTCTATACTACGCGCCATAATCTAAACACGAGGCAGCGCAATTTATTACAAATACCAGTGCACAGAACAGCCAAATTCGAAAAATCACCCATCTTCAACTGTATTTCATTTTACAACATATTGCCTATTAGAATAAAATCAGTCCCTGTGAATTGTTTATACAAGAGAAAAGTTACTGAACTGCTTCTGACTAAAGCATATTCTAACTGTAGAGAGTTTTTGAATGACTTTTTAACCTTAACTAATCTTCTCTAATTGTGTTTGTAGCTTTTTTCGCTGTGTATTATCTGTGATAATATTGTGGGAAGTTTAACATATCTCTTGAAATTTATACTTATGTACTATTTATTGTTATTTATATTTTACACTCTATTCATCATTTGTAATTATTTTACTTTTGACGTGCCAATGTACATATTTGTATCTAACTGGTTAAAATAAACAAACAAATAATCAAGTACAAACAAAAATTTCTAGTTTTGATGTACATTAGATCATCTTTAGAAATTTTTTGTAAATTAACTGTAGGTACCAAACTTTTTGAAATATCCTATTTAAATATGCTGACTCTTTTTTTTCCTCTAATAACGTTCCTCACACTGGAATTATTCTGTCCTGGAACAATATCTTCTACACTGAGCTTGTCAGGATCGGATGAAAAAAGTACCATTAAAGGTAATGGTGATTTATTACGTTTTAGTCCTAAGTACTGATATAATCATAAGTGTTGAAATATGTATTTCATATAGCCTTTTTGCTACATCACTGGAATTTTATTTTTGTGATTGTCATCATTTGCCACTGTGCCACTTTATCGAGTTTCGTATTTTAGCTCAGCGGTGGCGTAGTGCTAGACGCTACGGTCTCCTAATCAGTCGCCGAGCTCAGCACGGGTTCGAATCCCGTCCCAAGAGAATTTTTGTCTAGGCTAACTATGTATGTTGTGATCGTCTGTAGGTGGTAGACGGTCTCTGACTGTCGAACGTGTGGGTACCACTCGGTGGATCTCGTAGGCGGGGCCAGAATGCTGCATGTATACGTGTTCCCTTGCTAGAGTACGTGGGGCGTCCCCTCATTTCTCCTGTATGCCTCTGGGTGATTAGGCGCTAGGCCTTCGTGGTAGTTGGAGTATAAAACAAATCTCACATGAAACATTAACCATTCGACATTCAAGAACCCCTGCCCAGGCCTAACAAAGCTCCTCTTGAGATAGATAGCGTTTAACTTTTATGATTATACAGTCTTATGCCTTCCTTTAATTTACAATTTGCAGTGTAACACATATTAGTCACAAAAAGTGTCTGGATCCATAAATCCCTTCTTAGGAAGATTATACACCTTTTTAACCTTCGAAAATAGAAGTGTAACATCAGGATGGTTTATCTGCAAAAAGATGTTACACCTTGGTGTGGGCTGTAACCTTATAATAATAATTTTTAGAGTTATAGTCTCAAATTTTTGGGTTAAGATTCCCACTAATATAAAAAATATCAGGTAGGCAGGAGATCACGTTTAAACTCAATTTCAGAGCATTTGCACATTACACATACTTGTAGCCTTACACTCTACATAATAAATATGCTATAAATATATAAATATGAATATGCAATGATTAATTCTGTAACTTACCTACCACCATCAAGGGAACCGCTTGGTTGTAAGCTTTTGTATATAAATACACATCCGTTTGCATTAAATTATTCATTTTCAGATCATTAATACCAGATATGGATTCTAAAGATACCACAGCTTGACGAATTTGTTCAATGTAGGGAATTATTATTGATTGATCAACATTATTTGCAAGAAAATATGCTTCTGTATTTGATTCATCTGTCTAAAATTTCTTAAACGCCAAAATAAAAACAACCTCGCATCAAAATTGTCGGCTCGTTAGAAATCTAAAGCAGCCACACAAGTACCGTACTGAAGGAGACAAGATAATATGGAAATCAAGAAGGCCTTCAAGACGTCCTACAATTGTAGGAACGACTGACGATACGGCACTTAATATATTCTAATATGCCACTTCAAAGGGAGAAGTTTTAATATAGCCGGGCATATTATACGAATTCCAGAAATAAATTCTCTTTGTCGATATTTATTCGTTGTTTTTCTACAATCACTTGAACTTTCGGCATATAGCCAAAAATAGTTTTATAGAATATGTAAAAGGAAATATACCTAGTTTATTCAAGAATGATTTGAAAAATAAATTTGTTATATTTTCACCATTGTGGTCTCCGAAACAGTAAGAGATACGGGTCGGTTGAATGGTGGCAATGTTGCGTATTTTGTATATGTTAGAAAATGCATTTGAAAAGTTTTGATTCTTCCAGTATCTCCAGAGATACATGGAAAAGAAAACACATTTTCTCAAAATCGTTTCTAATTCTTTCTGAATTTATTTGAGATATGATTTCAAAATAAACTGAACATTGACATTGCCACTTTTGATCTCTGCAAGGTGGCAACAATATAACAATATGATTTGATTCGTCTCTTATTCCCCGTCTCAACAATTTCAGAATACATCTTGATTTGAAAATTTAATCCCTTCAAAAAATGTTACTGTACCTAAAAATCATCAGAAAGCGGGGAAATTGACAAAAATAACGTTTGAGAACAATCTCAATAACTCTGTTTTTGTTCATAAGTCCACCGCCATTGCATCGATTCACAAAAAAATAGTATTAACTGCTGTAACCCCAAAGCATAGACGCTCTGAGAATTTCACCAAAATCAATGCAGCTGTTTCCGATATTATGCAGTTACAAAAATCCCAACAGATTGCTAGATAAAACGTAGTATGCTTGTCCTACTAGAAATATTCAGTCTGAATGTGCGAATTACTGAGTCACTTTACTTGGTCCCATTGTTCAGTTACAGAATAGCTTCGATTTTCACTTAGGATTGCAGAAATACGACTTTTCTCTAGTTCAATTTTGTAATTTTAATGAATGATAATATTGGCCTGGTTCAATTTTTTTCAGCATGCAGCAGAGATAGAGAAAAAGCAAAATGAAACAGAGAATAAAAAATTGCTGGGCTCCAACGTCCAGTATGGAAATGTTGTGCAGGTTTGTATTTGAAAATTTTAATGTTAATTAGTTATTTAGCGCTTTTCAAAAAGGTCCCCGCCTCACTCATTCTTGATTGATGCATAGAAGTGATATCTGAAAACTTTAAGATGACAGTTGGGCGCCATCTTGGAACATCTTTTTAATTAGAATGATAATCGCGGTGCCCTGGTATTTAGACTTCTGCTTACGCGGCTGTTTCGGTATAAAAAAACTCCATTTCATTTAAAAAATGATCTTAGGTTGCACCCAGCTGACATCTTGGAATTTTCAACAGTCATTTCTATGTTAAAATGCGGTATTCATGTACAAATTTTTTTTGAATAGCATTGCATATCTTCAATGAAACATAGAGGTTCCGAATATAGTGTTCTACTCTTTTATTTCAGTTACTCCATTTGAAATCAAACAAGTACTTAACAGTTAACAAGCGTTTGCCAGCGTTACTGGAAAAAAACGCAATGCGAGTGTACTTAGATAGCAACGGGAACGAGGGCTCTTGGTTTTACATCCTGCCATTTTACAAACTAAGGGCTCATGGGGACAATATTGTGCTGGGGGATAAGGTCATCTTGAACCCCGTGAGTCCAGGTCAGCAAGTCCTACATGTATCAAATCACAAGTTACCTGATAATCCTAGTTGTAAAGAAATTAATATCGTGAATGGCAACACCTCCTGGAAGGTCACGTTGTTTTTGGAGCACCGAGAAAATTTAGAGGAGATTTTGAAAGGCGGTGATGTGGTTAGATTATTTCACGCTGAACAAGAAAAATTCCTTACAATGGACGAGTATAGGAAAACGCAACACGTATTTTTGAGAACTACTGGGAGGACTAGTGCCACAGCAGCTACAAGCAGTAAAGGTAGGTTAATTAAAAAAAAAGGTCAAGTAGGTTGACTCTGTACTTTCCGTGCAACGCTAGCCTTGGTTTATAAAGGATTGTGTTCAGTATAAGTTAGCCCTTCTGAGAAAAAACTTAGCTACGAACATGTATAGCAAAGAATTAAACGGATCAAGTTAGTCGAACAGACTCGTACATTTAAAATTTACCTTGCTTTTTTATACCGGCTATATCTCAGCAATGGTTCAACCTAGAACCATCCGTTAAACAGTTTCACAAAAAGTGGCCAAGGGAAATTGCTGTAAATTATTTTCAGCTTCCTAAAATGGCTCCTAGGAGGCGCGTTTTAAATGATTGCTTAATTTTGTAACTTTTTTCTTAATGTAATTTTTTCATACTTTGTTTCATTTAGAGTGGGGAAGAGTTGAATGTCATTTCATAAAAAAGTAATATCTCAGTTTCATTCGAAAGAAAGTTAGTTCACTTTGTGCCCACTAGATAGCGTTTTATGGATGTGTCACTGGTTTTTTAATCGTTTCGGAAATTCCAGATGCAACGGTATGCTTTTTTAATATTGCTTGGAAAGACCATAAAAAAACTTACAAAATAGGTCTGTATCTGTATCCGTTATGCAAATTTGAAAAATATGCTTCAATTACAATTTTCAAGTACTACTGTATGAAAAAACATGCTTTGAATAATTATGTAAAATATATCATTATCTTGACGATTTCAAGAGATTTTACTTGAAAATTTATTCTTATTTATAACCGGTAGTGGCCGTCAGTGTCGCCTGATATATGAAAAAAGACATATTTCAATTATACCTCATATTTTATCTCAGTTGGCTTTGAAATACGAATAAGTCAGGAAATACGGAGTTTTTACCGGTTGTGGTAGTTATATCTTGTAAGAGTGCAAATTATGAATTGTTTTATATCCATTGTAATATTTTTATACCGGGTGTCAACGAAATCGTTTTACACAGCACTATTCAATTGCTGTTTAAAGAAGAACCCTTGAAACTTTGTGGGAAGATATGACTTATAAAAACTCAGATTATCCAGTAAAAAACAACTGAATATCGGTGCCGGTTTGACCGGACCAAAATGGCGGCATAAATGGCATTTATGCCAAATTCAATATGGCGGCGTTTTGACAGTATCTATGGATTTTTTGCCAAACTACCCGCTAATTTAAGAGGAAAAATGAATTCTCTTGCCGCTTCTACAATGAGTTGGCAAAAAAAATTGTCATAAATTTGGGACCATTTTTGTTTTTGACTTAAAATGTCAAAATGTATTGAAATTTTTTTCAGAATTTTGAATAGGAAACGGAGCTTTCTAAATGCTAACAATAAAGACCGCCCTTATTTCTGAAAGATGCCCAACCGTACGTTCCCTTTGTATTTTTCTATTTCTAACGATAACAAGAACAATAACGGAAATTAGCATAGTAAAAACTAAGTATCAAAAGCAACTAAATAACAAATAGCTTAGCAGATAAATTATTAATTAAAACATAGGAAAAATCATTCATTTAAGTGTTCTATGCGTTGGCCGCCGAGCTGTTTTTATTTTATTTTATTTTTTATTTTATTTTATTCATTACAACACCCTACAGTAAATACCAATTACAGGGTGAGGAAACACAGAACATAACACAGATATAAAAGACAATAATAAGTAATAAGTAATAGACTACAAAGTGTAAAAGATACATGCTGGTTACTTAATAGTATTTTTTATGTCTGCAATTCTGCAGTTAAATATATCAATCCTGTTACTTGCAGAATTGTAATTCCTACACATCACATGTAAAGGGGAATAGTGTAAATAATTTGTCCGTGCCGCAGGTAGATAAAACGTAACGTTTTGTCGGGATGTCAGCCTAGGTACGTTAAATGATAACTGACCCAAAAAAGCTAAATCATCACTAGCATTATTGATCAACTTAAATAGAAAAATCACTGACTGGCAAGTGCGCCTTGCTTCAAGACTGCTGATTAGATGTTTTTCAAGGAATCATGAGGTATACCTATGGGCGGGTAAACGCCATCTACTTTCAGTGACAAATATATTAAGAAACGTCTTTGAACACATTCAAGCCTACTTATATGAATAATATGATGCGGATTCCAAATTAGCAATGCATACTCAAGCTTCGACCTAACATATGCATAATACAGCAACTTCAAGGTGGTACTCTGAGTGAAGTCACGGCAGTTTCTTACAATAAAGCCGTACATGCGGTTTGCCTCGGAAATTTTGCTGTCAATGTGTTTAACGAATGTTAGTTGGGAGTCAAATGTCACGCCTAAGTCACATAAAGTTGAAGTCCTCTGAATAGAGCTACCTGACAGGGTATAGTCAAATAACAGAGGATTTTTCTTCAAAGTGTAAGACATTATGTAACATTTATTGATGTTTAATGACAGATTGTTTTGTGAGCACCAAGCATCCAACCTGACCAGATTTTCTAAAAGTTGATCACAGTCTGATTCATCAACTACACGACAAAACATCTTCAGATCATCAGCGTAAAGTAAACAATTCTCGCCAACAGCATTGACTATGTCATTCAAAATATGACGAACAATAAAGGCCCTAGGTTACTGCCTTGTGGCACTCCGGAATTGGCTACATACTTCGACGATCTGATGCCATTAAACATCACAAATTGATTTCTTCCAGTGAGGTAGGACTTAAATAGTTGTATTAAAGGATCAGATAATCCATGAGATTTCAGCTTATGCAATAGCATCCTGTGATCAACTCTGTCGAAAGCCTTGGAGAAGTCTGTGTAGACCACATCTGTTTGTAATCCTCTGTCAATGTTTTCTGCTATGGTCTGTGTGAAGTTCATCAGATTTGATACTGTTGAGCGCCCTTTCATGAAACCATGTTGTTGAACACATATTTTTCTGCTGACATGATGATATAGTCTGTTATATATTAATATCTCTAGAGCTTTTGAAAAATTGCACAATATTGATATAGGTCTAAAATTTGATACATCATTCCTACTGCCGTTTTTGTGTATTGGACATACTTTAGACAACTTCCATACTTCTGGAATTGTGCAGGTGGTAAGGCACAAGTTGAATAAAACGGTCAAAGGACACGCCAACACAGAGGCACAGTCACGCAAAATAAAAGCTGGTACATTATCCGGTCCGGTAGTCATCTTAGGTTTTATTTGCTTCAAGGCTAAGACAACTTCATCCTCCTCAAATCTAGTAATATTGAGTGGTTGTTCATTGCTCATTAAAAAGTCATCAGTTTCTTCGGTGGCTGACGAAGACGAGTAGTATTTGGAGAAGTTATCCGCAAAAGCATTTAAAATGTCGTTCGGTTCCAAAAGTTCATTACCATTGTAAATCATCCTACTTGATAAGTTTGTTGATTTTCGCTTAGAATTTAAGAAGCCCCAAAATTTATTCGAATCTCTTTGTATTTCGTTCTCAGCTTGTCTGACATATATTTTGTATGCTTCATCTGACTCTATCCTAATTTTTGATCTAAGTTCCCTGAATGTCTGATACGTTTTAGGATCATTGTTGCGTCTATAAGATCGGTGAATCTTCTCCTTGCGTTTGATAAGCTTAATTATTGCTGAATTGAACCAGGGTGGGTATTTACGTTTCGTTGCTCGGACATATTTTGGAACACAGGTATCAAAAGCATTGTACAGTTTATTATAAAAGAACTCACACGCTTCATTCGCGTCATGAAAGCCATCTAAAGCAGCCCAATCCATGTCTGAAATTAAATTATATAATTGGGGGAAGTTGGCTTTGCGAAAATTATAAGAATTTATAAATGAAACAGGAAAGTTATGCTTAGTATTGAGACTGCTGTTGACATTACAACAAATATTCAGGGCAGGGTGATATGGGTCTTCATCTAGCAGCGGATCCCACGAATGTTCAACCTCACACAGACCACTACAGAAAACTAAATCAAGGGTATTGTCCATAGAATTTGAAATATTGTTAAACTGATTAATAGCAAGACCCTCAGCAAAGTTGTTCAACGATACCAATTTTGCGTTGCGTCCATGACTATTAGCATAAGAAGTGTAGTTAGCTATGTTGAAATCCCCTATTATAACTAAATTCCTATCAAATAGGACGTGCGATGACAAGATAGCATCATAAAATTGCTCATATTTAGCATTGGGCTTATCAGGTGGTATGTAGACATTGCAAATGTAAACTGAAAAAGAGTTGGTACAAACCTTGACTGCTACTACATCAATCTTTAGGGCAGAAAGTACTGCCAACTCAGGTATCTCTATCAAAGATGCTGTAAAACGCTCATCAATCGCAATCAACACACCACCACCTCTTGAGCAACCAGTGGTCACATAATCTCGATCTGTCCGGAACACATTATATGTAGTTGGAATAAATTCACTACTCATACATGAGAAATCTAACCAGGTTTCAGTTATTGCAATGATAGGATATTCACACCTACAAATAGCATTATAAAAAACAGCAGCTTTCGTTCGGAGTCCACGAACATTTTGGTAGTATATTAGAGGTTGCAGCCTATCACTACAATTAGAATCTAGTCCCTTGTGAGTTACGACGAAGGGATGCATTGGTTGCTACTGACTGAGTAGGTCGTGTCTTAATCTATCAAGGGCTTCATTGTATGCCTTGCATTTCTGCTTATCCCAAACAGCATGATCCGTTTGCACACTACCATCTTTCTGTTTAAGTTTCATACAGTTTGAGCATTTACGAGTCTGTGATTTGCAATGTTTGACCTCATGATTCTCGCTACAGAGTGGGCAAACAACTGCGCTTTTACATTTGCTAGAAGAATGATGGAATTCATTACATTTAAAGCAACGATACACATCAATAGCATCGTAAACAGCGCAATTGTCATACCCCACAAACAAGTAACCAGCTTTAATAATTTTGTCATAACTACTCCTATCCACCTGAACAATAGCTTGATATACAGAAGGGTCTTTGTTAGTAGGAAAGTGCTTAACAATTTTACATTCAAAATCATCTTCGAAGATATCAGTATTTCCTTTT